GGGGTGCATCATACAGGTTCATAAATTAGGAAAATGACCAGGGCTGTCAATATGGGCTGTAACCTGTACCTGTCACGGCTGAGTATGTTTGATGGACCCTTGATGTTACAAGTGAACTGGCCTGTAGTTGATACAATTCAGCCATAAAGTAACAAGTTTGTTATGGGTGTGAAGATCAAGGCTACAGGTGAATTAAGACTTAATGACAGCCCTGATGACTGAATACAAATTTTCTTTAGTCCAAAACATACGCCCAAAATAATGAAGTGGCCATAATAACAAGGCAGTCGTAAGGCAGGGTTCCGTCATAGCAATAAATTTGAAAATGCATCGGTTTATTCATAGTTGTGTTCCCAAACGCTTAAATCACTTTCACTTCAGGTCATGGACAAAATCTTCTCAGTTAACAACACGTTCTAGTTAGCTAACATGTTTATTGTGCACAAGCATTAGGGTTGCTGTCAAAACAAACGATATACATAAACGAAAGTTGCAGCCTATGGATTCAAAGTAAAAAGAGCTGTTACTTTTTGCAAATTCATAACATGAAATCAATGGCAAGTTCCTAATTCCAACTAATAGTCGTTCGGGAAAGATCAAGGTTTCATGTAAATTAAACAGTGCAGACGTGAAACAAAAGGAAAACTTCGTGGAGCCAGTTGCTTTCTCCAGTAACGAAACAAGTTTTCACAGCAGCAATTTTGTTTTATTACTACACAGTTGTACTGTTTGCATGAGTGTTATTATCGTATCGTATCAGTGTTTTATATCGAAACTTGAATTGAAGACAAACTTACCAGGTGTCTTGGAACTGCATATGGCATCCAGGGAAAAAGAGTGTTGAAAACGATTAATATTACAGAAATATAAGAAAATTCCAAAGCAGAAACTACAGGTGATCGTCAAAGCATAAACTCTAACTCACATCCTTTTCCTGTTGGACCGAGTGTTGTAGGATAGACGACGTCTGTAGGTCAGTCGCTGCACCATCTGAAACAAAAATTGCATAAATGAAAAGAAGAAACATTACATATTTCATCTGTAAATGCATCAACTAGTCCGATGTATGTATTTCCGAAGATTAACTCAGATTGCTATAGGTAAGGTAAATTCTACGTACTTTCAACTTGTTGGTGATCGAAGAGAACGACATTGAGGCGCGCGATGCATCTTGGGCATTCGACCGTCTGAACATGCGATCATGTTGTACATAGCACGTGTGTGTGAACATGGCGGACAAATTTGAGACAGAATCAACTCCACTCATGTCGTTTTGGTCATGTTTTTGCGTTGTCAGTGGTAATTCAAGGCTTCTTTTGTAGCCAGGGGTATCAAGCTTTCTCTAGTAGAACGATTGGAGCATTGTCAGTTGTCAAAGTCACGAAATATGGAACAAATTGAACACATCTTGGAAAACGATGTAAACATTAACAACTTTGGTGGCCAACAGTCGGAGAAAGACGACAACTCTAGTCACTCAGTTGTTACAAATAAAACTAAAGTAACAGAAGAATTAGAAGAAAAGCGTGAACCTAGAAATGACACCGTCTTCCATGAGAAACAAAAAGAACTATCGAGTATTTCAATAACTTCTGGCGATTCCAAAAATTGCCTCTCTGTAATCGCCGAAATGTATTCAAGTTCAGATGAAGAAACATGTCGAGAAAATTCTACAGAGCCTTCAAGTAATGAAAGTAAAATGGCTGAAGATGCTGGCAGCAAAGAAATGGTTATCAGTAACTTTCAAAGCATAGGTGTTAATCCAATTTTTGCTCAAGAAAAAGGTGCATCTTTGCAAGAGGAAAACAACAATTTGAATAGCAATAACTCAGCTGACACTGCACCACAGATTACAATGACGGTAGAACCAGAGCTGCTCAAGAAGCCTGAAAGTGATGGAGGAACACTCGTAGAGTCGGACAATGATAGACAAATACTTATGAAGACAGAGAATGATAGGCACACACTCATAGAAAGTAAGAGTGAAGGACAATCAATCATAGAACCTATAAATGATGGAAGCAAACAAATGGAGTCGGAGAGTGATAGACAAATACTCCTAGAACCAAAGGGTGATGGACACTTATTTATGGAGACCAAAAGTGATAGACACACAGTCATGGAGACTGAGAGTGTTGAACACACACCCACACAGTCTACAACAGATGAATGCATGCCCATAAATCCAGAGGGTTCTGAATGCACACTTTTTGGGTCTCAGAATGATGGACATTTACTCACACAGCCAGGAACCAATAGACAGACTCTTAGAGAGCTAGGACGAGACACACACACACCTGTACAACAAGAAAGTTATGGATGTATCCTTGCAGAGTCTAAGAATAATGGAAACATGGAGGGCAACAATGATGGACACATAGTAAAGGTTGAAAGTGGTAGACCCACAGTCATAGAACCACCAAATGATGGGAATGAGAACACCCTTAGCAAATTAAAGAGTGATGGACACACACCCATGGAGACAGATAGTGAAAGAAACGTTCTCATAAAGAGTGAGAGTGGTGGATGTGCACTTATAGAGCCACTTAATGATGGGTGCACCCTTAAAATTTCTAAGAGTGATGGACACTCACCCATGGAGACAGATAATGAGGGAAACATCCTCATTAACAGTGAGAGTGGTGGGCATATGCTCATGAACACCGAGAATAACAAACATAGTCTCCCAGAGCCAGGGAATGATGACCATACACTTATTACAGAGGCAGAGGGTAAAATATGTTCTTTTATAGAACCTAAAAGTGAGGAATGCTCACCTGTAGAACTAGAGAGAAAGGAAGACACACCCACATGCTCTGATACAAGTCATCAAGTCTATGCTATGACCAGTATTGATAAAGAACTAGAAATTATTGGTGACAGTGAACAAGTTTCTCAGATGGGACAACATACAGTGTATGGAACTGAGGATAGCTCTTTAAGTGATAGTTCTTCAGATGATGAGAGCTCATCAAGTGAAAGTGAAAGCTCTGAATCCAGTTCTGAGTGAGTGAATGCCAAATTAAGTATTACGCAGTGCTTGAAAAAAGTGCCATCCGGTTGTCCAGGACAAGTTAATTTTCCCTCTGGGTTACTTGTCCCAAGGGCAAGCTGGAATTTTTTTTTTCAAGCCCTGATTAAGTAAATTGTTTAATTATGACTTCATTATCACCCCTGGGGCAGAGGGGGGCACTCCCAGAAAAACTGGGTGGGGTTGTGCAGCCCGCTTCCCAAAACCCTCACCCTATTTATGACCAAAATCTGCGATATTCCCTACCCTATTTATGACCTGACCAAAAATTCGAAACCCTATTTGTGACCTGACCCTTAAATCAAAACCCTGTTTCAGACTTGCGCTATAATTAGTTCTCTAGTTCAGACCAATGTTAAATTAGCGTAAACATAATTTCGAAGGGTTTCTGTTGATTTTCTTTTTGATAATGATGAAAAAGTGGCTTCTTCTTAAAAACATACCCATATGAAGGCTAGGGTGTAAAAATCATACCCTATTTATGACCAAAATGGCCAAAATCAACTATTAAAATCAATACCCTATTTATGACCAAAACGGCTGAAAAACCATAGCTGTTCAATGTTACCTTAGTTTAGAGAAAATATATATACAGCTTCAATGGCTACCTGTTTTACCTTTTCCCTTGAAACAATAACAACTTGATGCTGTTTTACACCCTTCAACCTAAATATTGGTTTTTTCCTATCAAGAGGTGTTATTACTAGAATTTAGTGCGCTATAATATTATTGGTGACATAAAATTGTTAAACTGACGAAGACGCTCCCTATCTCAACTACCCCTCACTTTGCTTTGAAGTTAGGCTAATGCTTGGAATGCCACCTTTACAAACTCACAGTTAATTTTTCCATTATCCTCTTTAAGTTGATAAATATTTTAGCTAGTATTTCACTTGCCTGTTGATGCAGCACTACAGTTCCTTTGGAAACTAATGAGCAACTACTTCACCCATGACTTAACTTCAGATTTTCCTTTCTTTTCCCCCAGGCGAGTGATAAAGCCAGAACTTCTGACTAACCCAAAGTGAATTAAGATGTACATAAATGGAAATAGCTAGGTCACAATCAAATCTTTTTTTTTTT